GACCAAACTGAAACCTGCAACCTCCGTGACATTAGTGAACCTAACAATAACAACAGCAGGATCTTTTCACAACTGTCCATCTCTTTCTGCCAAACTGGTCAATATTATGTTGCTGATGACAAGCCCAGAAAAGCCACTGGAAACATGGACGATTGGATGTCAGTAAAGATAAAATTCTAAAGAAACATGTTTGGCAAGCTTTCTTCTGGCTGAAGAAATGTGATTATTAAGTTTTAAGGAAAGTCAATGCTATTTTTCTGTGGATATACAGCAGAAAAAATAGCAATGACAAAAATTAATTGGTTAGTGGGCGTCCAGAGCAGAAATCATGTTGAAATTGCATGCGGTAGGCAGTGATATTATTTCTGAGTAAGAGCCCTAACTACAGATCCCTGTATTAATAATGCAAGAGGACCCCAGGGGGCAGCCATCTCTCCACACAACACTACACCCTCAGACATAATATGCATGCATACACAAGTTGTAGCTTCATGCTGTTATGTCATTTGTTTCCAGATAGTTTTGTGGCTTTTTGTTTGCAAATATACTCATTAGTTCCTTCTGTTTTCAAAGACAGTAATTGGTAAATTGATTTTTTTTCTTTTTTTTTGTAGTTTGTAAGAGAACAAAGAGACATTACAGACATAGAAATAAAATGTTTACTATAGATAGTTTTAAAAAGTAAACTTGAACATCATGTTAAGTCTACACATTAGAAGACGAACATGCAAGGTACATTTGCACATCTTATCTAAGAATATAGTCACTTGTGGGGTTTTAGACTAGGTGACATTGCATGCTGTATGACTAAAGGCATTCAGGTCAATTCAATTGTAGCTCATGAAAATCAAATTCCCATCGTGAAGAATGAAACAGTTAGACGTGGGAAAAAAAACTGTAAGAATATTCATAAATCAGTTCCTAGTGTCAGGGCATAGGTTTTAAAACATTTTATTTTGGGAATGCTAATGATTTTCTTGATTATTGAAGTTTAACACTGTTTATGCTGTAAAGAGCACAAAGCAGTACAGTGTTGACCCTGCCCCACTTTTCTCTGTATGCCACCCACAATTGTCCCCTGCTAATAAGAAGGGCAAACTGTGCTGTTTAGAAAAAAACCCAAAAACAATCATAATAGGGAAACTGAAGGAGCATCAGCTAAAGCTCTGGTAAATGTAAAAGTTAGCGAGCGAAGAGTGGAATATTTAATACAATATGGCATCTATGCTGACAAATGAATCTGTTTGTAATACTATGTGATTGTGTGTGTGAGGGGGAAGCCTGCCAGAACAGACTGAAGACAAACATAGATATATGTATGTTCTTTTTTGTTTATTTAATGGAACATGTATAAACAGGAAATAGTGGGAGAACCCTGCAATTAGTAAACCTACCTCCATATGATTACCGGAACAGGTGAGATTAATTAGCGGAATATGGAAGCGCTGAATGAAGGATCTAGGGGAGAAAACAAGGAATATATTAATAATAATTTGAGTGTACACAGCTAATTACCAAAATATGAACAAAAATGGTGCCAAGAGTAACAATGCCACTCAGGAGCAAGTGTTATATATTTCACAGCATAGAAAACAATATAGATTATTTAAGAAATGGATTAATTGCTACATATGATTGAGTTAAACTATTCAAATTATTTATATCACCTTTGCAGCTTTAAGAATAATTGTTACTTTTCATCCTTAAAGTTATTAGATTATGTAAATGCCTTTTTACTCTACCATAATATTTGTTTTAGGCTCTCATAAAGTGTGCATTTTATTAAGATGACTAGCAGACCTAAATTAGGATAAAACTTTCTTTGTTTTTCCCATTTTAACTTTTAATATGTTTTCTGCCTGCATCTCATTTTCCATCCCACAAATGTGAAGGTTAACTTATAGAAATCTGTATATGCAGAGTTTTATTTCATGGTTGCTTTGTGTAAAGTGTACCAATCTGAAATAATTATCTGGGTGGGAGCGATGGTGAACCATGACAGTGAATTCCCACGCAGCGTAAATTCTCACTTAGTTCAAAACAATTATGATAAATGCAGCTTCGACTCAGGTGCTGCAGCAGCCCGCAAATCACTGCTTAGTTAGGTGCACTTAGGAAATGTGGGTTTATGAGGAAATGTAAGAATGTTCTCTTACAGTTTTTTTTTTTATTTAATTTCAGTCTTACTTATTACCTTATATCTCTACCTTGAATCAACTTTACTCCTTTTTTTTTACTAAAACAACACATCTGTTACTATGCGAACATTAGATGATGTTGATGCCTATTTTGTAGCTTATTTTTCTTTCATTGTGTTATTGATAGTACAGTTATAGATTGTTTATTAATACTGTTAATACTTTATATAATAGACACAAGCTTCAAGTATTTTGCTTTCTCTTTTTTGGATTTATTTTCTTTAAACCACATTTCATCACAATTAAATTTTTGTAGGTGGTAGCCCCTAGCTTTTCTTTATTTTTTCAGAGGACAACCTTCTTCAGCTGCACACAAATACAGCATATTTTGATGTTTTAGATGTTTTAACTTCATGGATAAAAGGTTCTCAAACTTCCTAGGGGGGTATTTTACATTTATCTCATGAGGCGTTACCAAGGCTCTTTTTTTATGCATTTGTTGTATCCGCCTATCTTCAGAGTGTATCCCTGGGAAAAACAAAGAACAGATATGCCCTAGAGCTGTTATTGTTAAACCATATATCTTGTTGTAGTGGCAAGTTCAGCAAAGTTAATGATACTACGCCTTGCAAGTGTACATCTAAAAACGATGTCTCAGCCGCTGCTGGCATTGTTTTGACAATTTGATGTCATTCCTCTTTTTTTTTCATTTCTTTTCCACTCTTTGTGACATAAAGAGACCATCGTAAAAACAAAAAAAATATATTACAGATATGTTATTTTGAGGGTAGAATCTTTCTGCATTGTTGATGAATAGACACACATCAAATCTTTAGTTTACTTTGTGTCACTAATTTTACTGACTTATTTGCTTGTCATTTTTATTAAGGATGAAATTGGCATATTTCTTAACATGGCTGAAAGATGAAAACGGAAGGACGACTTTCAAAACTATCTGAGTGCCAAAAGAAATTCAATATAGAGAGCTATTCATTAAATCAAATTTCATTATTTCAGTGTTTAACCAAAGGCTTTGAAGAGAGTATTGTTTGCATACTGGTTATTTGTCATATATTACAGTATCAGTAACTGTTACAAAAATAATTTTATCCAATGATTGCTGCAAAGCAACAGCAGATCAGTTAAAGTATATTTTATTTTACAATGAAGTACCTTATACTTTTTCCACTATGAATGACATGTGCTGCTGAAAATAACATATCTTTCCGATAACAGTGCTACAGAAAGAAGAATACTTAACAGAAAGAAGGAAAAAATATTGTAGCATAAGAGATTTTTGCTTTTAATTTGGTTCTTTATTCATTTTAAGATATTGAGCATCTCAAACCTAAACCCAGATACATTAATACACTAAAGTTGTTTAATTTCAATGAAGACAAAACCCACTGCTGACCCAAGAGAACATGACAGCTGGTTTCACATTTGATAAGAAATATCATGATGACAATATTATTTTAGAAAAATATTGGACACAATTATGAAAAAAGCAGACACGTATTAAATTTATGTTTCCCATAATAACTTTGCTTCAGAACTAAGTCAGCAGCACAACCCAAGACCAACACAGCACCTCCAACATATTTAGCTGTCAGTATATAAATAAATATATATATATATATATATATATATATATATATATATATATATATATATATATATATATATATATATATATATATATATATATATATATATGTCAGTATATATATAGTATTATATATAGTTAAGAAGAATGGCCTATAACTTAGAGGATCTGACGATCATTCCGAGCACTTTGCATTTGTAGATAGAAATAAAAATCAATTCTCCTGTCATCTTGTCTGTAGAAATTTATTCAGTAAATTAAACATATTTAACAGAGTACTGTGTTTCAAAGAATGAAATCTTTAAGTGTTAAGAAGTTACATTTAAAGTTGTGTTTATGTGGATACTTCGCTGTCCAGAGTCTTTCTGCATGGAGTTTGCATGTTCTCCCCAAGCATGTACAAAAACGTCTATCTATCTATCTATCTATCTATCTATCTATCTATCTATCTATCTATCTATCTATCTATCTATCTATCTATCTATCTATCTATCTATCTATCTATCTATCTATCTATCTATCTATCTATCTATCTATCTATCTATCTATCTATCTATCTATCTATCTATCTATCTATCTATCTATCTATCTATCTATCTATCTATCTATCTATCTATCTATCTATCTATCTATCTATCTATCTATCTATCTATCTTTCTATCTATCTATCTATTTATCTATCTATTACTCTCTCTTTCTCTATCTAGATAGATGTGGAATACAATATTTAGATCAAATTAGATTACACAGTAAAGCATTAGGGAATGTTTTCAAGGGCGTGTTTATGTAAAATATATTTGAATTGCATGTGACAGGAGTATATTGTTAGGAACAACAATAATAATAATCATTTAAAATATTTATTAATGAAAGTATTTTTAACTCCAACAGTTGCTCACTTTTGTTTACCTTATTTTATCTGTACACCTACAGTACACCTCGACACACATTATAATTTCTTATCGCACTTTATTCTGCTTAATAAGACATCAAGCTATGCTTTTAAGTTCAATAAAGTTTTATTTTTTAGTTTCCCTTGTGTTTTGCTTCACACGGCTGAGATTCTTTCATTTGTTGATTTTAAGTTTCTAGTTAAAACTATTCCGCTTTATCAATCTAGAATTCAGAAAAACTCTAAAAACTTTAAAATGTTTCTCTTACTATGCTTTTCATTAAATTAATGCTTATTTTCTGAGATAACTCAATCTAATTGTAAGGTCACAATTTGAACAGATGTGTTAATATGTCATGTTTAGGAGTCGACGTGCCTGACATCCACTGTGCAGACGTCCATCCACCCACTGAGGAGGCCTGTGATGTTCCCTGTTCTGCAGACTGTGTGGTAGGCTCTTGGTCCTTTTGGTCACCCTGCTCACACAGCTGTGCTACAAAGACTGCAGAGGGCAAGCAGAGTCGCACTCGCACTGTATTAGCCATTCCAGGAAAAGGTACAGTAACATCAAATTCCCTCAGATTACTTAAAATCATTCTTCTTCCTGTGTGTAAAACACGTACATCATTCCATTATGTTACTCCTCTAATATAATATACATTTAAAACAGAGACAATAAAACTGTACAGGTTGAATGAAATGTGCAATGAGTTAGGGTAAAATTAAAGTTTATGAAATGGAGCTGAACAATGGAGTTATCTAATTGGTTGCAAATTATAGGTTGTTAAAAAATGCATTTGTGCATTTAGTAACGTCAGGTGAGTCTCAGAAATCCACACACAAATGCAGTGAAGTTCAAAGACCACTGGTAGTTTGTAAATCAAGATAAAACTGCATATACTGTACATCACAAGTACTTTTGTGGATCTTGTTTATTTGAATCCTTGTGTCTATGTGTGGATCTTTTCTTGTGCATAAGTGGGTATTTGAGTTTGTTAATATTGAGACCCTTCTAGCTCCATATAAAGCTTCAGTTTGTCACTCAAAGGTCCAAGTCTAAGCAAAGGAGAAATCAAAGGATCGTCTTTACAAAAGACTGAGGACGGTCTTTAACAGATTCCACCATCAGATGTTCTTGTAGCCGAAGAAGTTCTCCCAATGAGTGGCGTTAGCACTGGTACCACAAAGGACATTTTCCACAGCTGTGATCCATTCCCCATCTTCAGGCGCATGGTGATATACATCCTAAGTTCTCCTGAATTCTTATAATTGAAATAAAGGACTAAGAAGAACTCATATTAGTATAGAAGAAAATAATAAAATATATATATATATATATATATATATATATATATATATATATATATATATATATATATATATATATATACGGTATATATATATACGGCATATATATATATATATACCGTATATATATATATATATATACGGTATATATATATATATACCGTATATATATATATACACTATATTGCCAAAAGTATTTGCTCACCTGCCTTGACTCACATATGAGCTTAAGTGACATCCCGTTCCTAATCCATAGGGTTCAATATGACGTCGGTCCACCCTTTGCAGCTAGAACAGCTTCAACTCTTCTGGGAAGGCTGTCCACAAGGTTTAGGAGTGTGTTTATGGGAATTTTTGACCATTCTTCCAGAAGCGCATTTGTGAGGTCGCACACTGATGTTGGACGAGAAGGCCTGGCTCTCAGTCTCCGCTCTAATTCATCCCAAAGGTGTTCTATCGGGTTGAGGTCAGGACTCTGTGCAGGCCAGTCAAGTTCATCCACACCAGACTCTGTCATCCATGTCTTTATGGACCTTGCTTTGTGCACTGGTGCACAGTCATGTTGGAAGAGGAAGGGGCCAGCTCCAAACTGTTCCCACAAAGTTGGGAGCATGGAATTGTCCAAAATGTCTTGGTATGCTGAAGCATTCAGAGTTCCTTTCACTGGAACTAAGGGGCCAAGCCCAGCTCCTGAAAAACAACCCCACACCATAATCCCCCCTCCACCAAACTTTACACTTGGCACAATGCAGTCAGACAAGTACCGTTCTCCTGGCAACCGCCAAACCCAGACCCGTCCATCAGATTGCCAGATGGAGAAGCGCGATTCGTCACTCCAGAGAACGCGTCTCCACTGCTCTAGAGTCCAGTGGCGGCGTGCTTTACACCACCGCATCCGACGCTTTGCATTGCACTTGGTGATGTATGGCTTGGATGCAGCTGCTCGACCATGGAAACCCATTCCATGAAGCTCTCTGCGCACTGTTCTTGAGCTAATCTGAAGGCCACATGAAGTTTGGAGGTCTGTAGTGATTGACTCTGCAGAAAGTTGGCGACCTCTTCGCACTATGCGCGTCAGCATCCGCTGACCCCGCTCCGTCAGTTTACGTGGCCTACCACTTCGTGGCTGAGTTGCTGTCGTTCCCAAACACTTCCATTTTCTTATAATACAGCTGACAGTTGACTGTGGAATATTTAGGAGCGAGGAAATTTCACGACTGGATTTGTTGCACAGGTGGCATCCTATCACAGTTCCACGCTGGAATTCACTGAGCTCCTGAGAGCGACCCATTCTTTCACAAATGTTTGTAAAAACAGTCTGCATGCCTAGGTGCTTGAATTTATACACCTGTGGCCATGGAAGTGATTGGAACACCTGATTCCAATAATTTGGATGGGTGAGCAAATACTTTTGGCAATATAGTGTATATATATAAGATTCATAAATGAAGAATCAGAGTACAGATGTGAAAAATGTTTTGTAATTACAAATGTCGAAAATAATCAAGATCTCTCTGAAAACTAAGCTCAGCAAATAGTAGATAACGATTGATTGGGCATTAGGTTTTATCAGAGTGGTTTCACCAGTATTGCAACCCTTCTGGTTGGTTCCCTAGATTTAAGATTCCTAAACAGACATTTTTCATTTGTAAGGTTTAAGCCAACCATCCCTTATCAGGAACTGTTACTCTGGCAAGTGTGGCTCTGTATGCTTCAGGTTTTTAAGTCAGACAGCATTGGAAGCCTTGGCAGGAGGCTGTTGCCCATTAATCCCTGTAACTAAACACATATCAGCAATAACAGCTGATGAAAGAATCTTGCAGCTTAAACCACATTTCCTGCTATCTGTTAGCTGGCAGAGAAAGCTGTGAGAGTGCTGCGCATTGTTTGAATTAGCAGAACATCTGTAGAATCCAAAGCAGATTCAAAAGTAAAGGTATTATCTTGGTTTTAGTTCAGTGACAAAGTAATTCATTTATCACAGCTAACATCTTTATCTCACAATAAGTGTTTGAATATTTTATCTCCATTGAGATATAACAGTACTTTAAATACTACTGAGGTGGACAAAACTATGCTTATTTTAACAAATGGAAGGAATTAAATAGTTTGTGAAAATGAAAATAATAATAATGATGGAAAAAGAGAAAAAAAGACATTTTATAAATTCCTCTGGAATAGAATACGATTTTGTAATAACTGTTTTTCAAATAAACTTAAAATAAAACAAATAGCTGTTTAAAATTTAAAATTACTGCAAACTTAGTTATTCTTTAATTTAATAGTTATTATTGTCACCTCAGCCTCATGGTTGTCCTCTAAAGTAAGGAGAATTTTTTACTTTTAAGTTCAAATCAGATTTTTTTTTTCATTTTGTTGATTGTTCTTTACTAAAAAACTTTAGTTTATTGAGATTTCTGGGTGTTCATTATCTTTATGTTATCTAAAAATTCGTTAGTTAAATTTTTTGAACTGTCTAGAACTTGGTATATGGTATTTGATGACTAACTTCAGATGTGGCACCCGAGAGGTGCGATCCTCTTAAATAAAAACCATAAAACCCAAACAGACTGCGGCGATTGTGAGCAGAGCTTTAAAAGTTTAATCGATTAAAATCCAATAAAAAAAAGTTTAATAATTAAAAGTCCAATAAAAAAGATAAAAAGACAAGTTAAAAGGAAAAAGATTAAAAAGAAAGATAAAAATCCAGATGGTGAAGAGCAGCAGAGTCAATGGGCCAGTCTGTTAAAAGACGCGCACTTGGCGGGTATAATGGAGGGCACCGTCCACCCCAGCGCTGGATCCTCGTTCCGGTACGCTGCGCGTGTGGGCCTCTCCAGCATAGCTGGCCTTAGCGAGGTCACCTCCAACACGCGCCTCCACCCCAGCGCTGGATCCTCGTTCCGGTACGCTGCGCGTGTGGGCCTCTCCAGCATAGCTGGCCTTAGCGAGGTCACCTCCATCACGCGCCTCTCGCCAGCGTGCCTCTGCGCCTCGCTCCATGACGGGCCTCTGCACCTCGCTCCGGCGCGCGTCCCTGCACCTCGCTCCGGCGCGCGTCCCTGCACCTCGCTCCGGCGTGCGTCTCTGACCTCGCTCCGGTGCGCGTCCCTGCACCTCGCTCCGGCGCGCGTCTCTGCACCTCGCTCCGGCGCGCGTCCCTGCACCTCGCTCCGGTGCGTCTCTGCACCTCGCTCCGGCGCGTCCCTGCACCTCGCTCCGGCGCGCGTCCCTGCACCTCGCTCCGGTGCGTCTCTGCACCTCGCTCCGGCGCGTCCCTGCACCTCGCTCCGGTGCGTCTCTGCACCTCGCTCCGGCGCGTCCCTGCACCTCGCTCCGGTGCGTCTCTGCACCTCGCTCCGGCGCGTCCCTGCACCTCGCTCCGGCGCGCGTCTCTGCACCTCGCTCCGGCGCGCGTCCCTGCACCTCGCTCCGGTGCGTCTCTGCACCTCGCTCCGGCGCGTCCCTGTACCTCGCTCCGGCGCGCGTCCCTGCACCTCGCTCCGGTGCGTCTCTGCACCTCGCTCCGGCGCGTCCCTGCACCTCGCTCCGGTGCGTCTCTGCACCTCGCTCCGGCGCGTCCCTGCACCTCGCTCCGGCGCGCGTCCCTGCACCTCGCTCCGGTGCGTCTCTGCACCTCGCTCCGGCGCGTCCCTGCACCTCGCTCCGGTGCGTCTCTGCACCTCGCTCCGGCGCGCGTCCCTGCACCTCGCTCCGGTGCGTCTCTGCACCTCGCTCCGGTGCGTCTCTGCACCTCGCTCCAGCGGCCTCCGGCCGTCAGTCCCCAAACCTCTCCCGCTGCTTCTCTCTCACCCGCTCCGTCCGGCTCCCTCCAAGATCGGCCTTCCCATGACCGGTGTGTCTCCCCAACCAAACAGCGGCCTTTTTAAATCAGCGTCCCAGTCGGCACGCTGCTTGGGTGATTGGGAACACCTGTGCCGTTACTGTGGGCGTGTCCAGGTGTGAGTGGTAATGTGGCCTCCAAACAAAATCCCCAAAAAACATGCAACACACGAAATTAAAAAACAAGCAACCAAGTTCAAAAATAATGAAAATCAAAAATTAGAAAACATGCAACAACTTAACAAAAAGGCCACATTACCACACAGACATCATATTTGAATGCAAATTGATTTGGTACAGAATAGAGAGTTCATAATCAGTTAATGCTTTGCAGGATGCTTGATGTTCTTGTAATTTCAAAACAAACCTAAATACATTTTTCTCTATGTTTTTACTTAACTGGTTCAAGTGTCTCAATATAGTGTTCATGTACTCTCAAAAAATGGCTCAACTAAACAAGCATCTCTACTATAAGCTTACACAGTTTGCTCGACTTCAAACAGGGTTTCATACTGTATGCATTTAGGAAAAACAAAACAATAAGTTATATTGTGCATCAGCGTTATATCAGAGCTAGAACAAATTATTTATTTTCAACCAATGTCAGACATATTTCTAAAAAAAATCTAGACTTAAAAAAGTTTGCAGTAATGTTGCCATAATAGAAAAAACTATTTTACAAATGACTCAGATACCGTATGAAAAACATCAGCATAACAAAAAAGGATGCTTCCCTGATTCTTGTAATTCTTCCTTAGTGTGTTAGTTGTGTTGAATTAGAAACTGACCAAAGCCTCTACTTTGGTTTATATTAACCAAGATTTAAGAGGCTATTTTGCCAAACCAAGCCACAACATAAATGCTTTCTAATGTTCCTTTCCAGACAACTCACCGTATATTGAATTGTATTTTGTTTTCTACAGTACATGCTAAGGGCCTGATCTTTAAAAGGTTTGTGCGTATTAAAAGACATGCACACTTTCTGTTTTGTGCAAAGCATGTGTACATCTAATCTTCAAGTAAGGTTCAAAGAGATTTGTGTGTGCAAAATTACAGCAGTTTTAAACATTTTAGTGTGTGGCGTCATGGAGTGCACATCTTCAACTGGCAGCTGGATTTCCATTTTTGCTCTTGAAAATGTCTCACCTTTGCTCAAAAGCCTTGTCAAATATAAGTGATTAGTGGAAAGCTTTATTGGAATTTTTGACTTTAGAACTATTGAGTTAGAAATGGCAGATATAATAGCTTAATGATTTCCAGCTAGTAATTTTGAGCTAAATCAAGAAAGGACTGTGGGTTCTGTCTAAGAAGAATACATCAAACTACACTTCTAAAATTGCTACTGAGTAATGTTTTTGTCCTATGATTCCAATGTCCAGATGGCAAAGTGTGCCCAGCAGCCCCAGCACTAGAGGAATGGAGAGTCTGCAATGACCACCCTTGCCCTGTATTTTATTGGAATGCCTCAGAATGGGGTCTCTGTACTGAGGATGCTTCTGCAAAAATCAATGCAAGCAGCTTCCAGAATTGGACGTCTTCCTGTCCAGTTGGTGTCCAAAGCCGTAATGTTAGTTGCATGAAGACGAATGCTGGTCCAGTCACAAATAAAAGGTACACTCTTTGCTATACAGTAGTTTTAGTCATAATGATAGTTTTCCTGTTTTTTTTTTTGTTTTTTTTTTTTTTTTTTTTTGTTTTTTTTGCATATTCCAGCTTAGTGCGATAGTTATTTTAGTAGAATTTTGTAGAATTAAGATTACAATCTTAGTTCTATATGTAATCTTTGCCTCATTTTTTCATAATAGTTATTATTTCTGTCTTTTACTTGTCATTTAGTTATAAACCTTTAGGCATCAGAAAACTGTCTTGAATAAAGTGTTGGCCATTTAAAGGTTAATAGTTAAAGATGTGAATATGCTTGGGGTACAGTATAATTCTTTGATACACAATGTTTATTTAAAAAAACACATCTGATAAGGATGTGGAGTGTCTTTATATTTATTAAAAGATTAACAATTGGATAGGCTGCATTGTGAAATCAAATTCTAAGAGTTTTGTAAAGAAGTTTCTCCTCATTTATACTTTTATTTTGTGTTTTTGCCATTCATTCTTTTTTTGTATGAGTGTGTGATCCCGAGATTCATCTTGCATTCGCTTCCCTACTATTCTTCTCTTTCAGCAATACAATATCAAACACTGCTAAGGGCTTTTGTGTTGTCACTTTAATGATGTTAAAGCCCACACCAGAAAGACAGATTTATAAATAATTCACAAAGTTTGCCCTTCTTTAGCTCAACATATTATTGACAGGGCCATAAAATGGATTATGGAGAGGCTTTTTTCTCATGCGCGTCCTGTCTGCTACCACAAAAGCTTTAATGAAAGCTGTCATTTCTGCTCCTTCAACAGATCTCACTTGTACAGTGTGCTGTGAATTTAATCACTTCGCTTCTCTCATATCCTTGCAAAGTGTTCATTTAATGGAACACCACCTAAAACTTAGACCTGCATGTTGCTATTCATTGGTAATGAGTTTGTCTGTCAGTAACTTTTGAGATAGTGTTTTATATTGCAGAAAAATAAGCTTTAGCCATTAGTTTTTAATTGTTGCACTCTATACATATGCAATCATCCTTATATGACACACAGATTATATTGCTGGCAATTTTTTTTCTAGTTTTAAAAGTTCAACTTAAAATTTTCCTTCAGTATTTTCTGAATTATTTACGATCTGAAGAGCAAAGATTTCTAAATACAATAAAGCTTCTTTTCAGGGAAAAATTCATTTCAGTCAGGAAAGATCAAAGCAATTTGTGGTGAGCAATAATTTCTGCAGAAAGCAGTGGCTCAACCAACACTTTGTCAGTTTTCCTTGCCATCAGTATAGAGCTGCAGGAATATGTTTGATTGACTTTCAGTTCTAAAAATAAAACAACCTTGTTTTTTTTAGACCTAAAAGAAATATTTTCCTTGAGTTTACTTTCAGCTGTGTTATACATTCAAACCAATGAGAGAAAAAGACTAAATGTAGAGAACTGCCTGGTATCAGCTGTTTTTCCACACCTGAGCTATTGGAGCTCATCAAAGCCAGCTCAAGTGTCATGAGTGTTGAAATGAAAGTCAAATAAATGGAGTCAGTCTGGCTATAATTACTGTCCAGTATTTTGTTGCAATTCATCAAGTCCATATCATTACAATGGCGTTACTCATAAGAGCTCCACATTTACAAAGGCTGATTCATAATATGATTTTATTTTGTATTCATTTTGATTCATTACTAGTATCCAGGCAACATATTTATGTTTTTTTCTTATTTGAGTTGGAAAGAATAAAATGTCTAAGAATTTAATATACATTCAACTTTTGGACAAAAATCAATACTTTTGATTGAGAGGTGGACTCATGGTAAGACAAACTGCCCAAAGGGGTACACAAGTAAAAAAAGATTGGGAAACACTGGTCTAGAGGTCAAAAAAGTCCTCCTTCACTTAGATGCTACAGATTTGGGTTCAGGAGCTTTGCTCCCCCAAATCCTGAAGCTGATGAGAAACTTCCACCATGGCTTTTTTCTTAATGTTCTGCCCTGAACATAATCACTGTTTTAGTGACAAAAAAATTGCCATTTAGATGGCTGTAGAGGAGTAGCAGTATTGATTGGAAGGTTCTTAAAATCCAGTGCTGTTCTCAATCATAAAAAAACTTATGTACAGACAGCCTAACATTTCACTCCCTGTCACTCATGTTGGTCTTTTTTCTGCTCATAATGTGACTTCATGTTTTTGGATTGTTATATGATATTGAACTATTCATATGTCTGAAATCATATCAGACATATGCATAGAAAAAAAATTAAAATATAGTTTGAGACACCATGCTTAAATGATGGGTATTCAAAAAATTAAAAGCCAAATAAAAAAAGACCAATGTAGTTTAAGATTAACAAGTAACACTGGGAATATTCAACTAAATACTGTACTACTGTGGGCTTCATGTAAACCACCGGTAACAGTGAAACAAAAGCAAGCTGCACAAATATGTGTGACCCAAACTCCAGAGCACATAAAAATGCAAAAAATAAAACTCTGTAAACACCATTGAAAGGAGCTTCAAACAGATGAAAACATGCAGCAAACAGTGAAACATGCAAACACACAAAACAAATGCAATGGAAAAAAAGACTGCAAACAAAAAATTCCGAAATCGCAAACAACAAAAAAACAACAAAAACAAATAAACAAAAGGCTGCAATAACAGAATGAAAATTATGCAAAAAGCAAATACAGTTGCAAACTTGCTCTAAACCTGAGGTGCTACAGACCACTAGATGGAGTTGAACAAAGAACGAACCATATCGCACGAGAGACTTACTTTTATTACTATACATAACTGTGCTTTTATGCTCGAATACTGTAAGACTGTGTGCGTGAAAATGAAAGATAAAAAACCTCTTTCTTCTTCCAACTTTCTTTTTTTTTCATCCTGTGTTGAGATTTAAATTCCTGTTTGTACAGAGGGTCAGGTTTGATACTACAAGGAACACTGATCTTTATTTATTAACTGGATTGATGATAGACCGAAAATACTGAGGTCATCTGCCGCCATCTTGGTACTCCCCACTCTCATGGAGTCCCGCCATAAAAATGCCTGTAATGTAATGTGGTTACCATAACAATGTAATCAATACATGTATATTACATTTACATCATCAATTTAGCATTTTTGGCACATTGTTAGATAGTGTGTGTGTTTGTGTGTGTGTAATAGTTTTAATATCTGACTACAATATTATTATGCTTCAATAACACACACATTTTGTTGCGATGGATTTGTATAATATAATAAAATTATATTATATTATTAAGGTTACAATATTAATATTATAAATATTAAATAATAACATTATATCACATGATTTATATACTTCATGGACATACTGAATATGCAACGTGATGTGCCTATTTTTTATCATAAATTACAGTAGTCTACTGATGCAATAAAACAGCAAGTGTGTGTCAAAGTAATTACCTTATCTTTGTTTTAAAAGTCTTAGGCCACCCTGAAAGTTAGAAAATCAGCGTTGTTTGATGCTGTGGTGCACGTATTATTTACATTCCGACCAGTCTAACTAGAGAGTACCAATATGGCGGCTGGTGACTTCACAGCACCATGAACAACCAACAGCCTATCAGCAATCCAGTGAATTGCAGTTCAGTGAGAGGAAGTGCCATGCTCAACACCATATAGTACGAAGCACTTTTTAACAGAGAGTTTGCAGCTGTTTTTACTATTTTATTTATTTTTTTTGTGATTGCATTTTGTTGCTTTATTTTTTGTTTTCAGCGTTTCTGTTGCATTTGTTTTTGTGCTTTGCATCCCACAAGTTTTAGCAGCTCATTTCGACTTTCACTGTGTGTTAGCACTTGTCGGGCAATGTAAAATACAAACATTTAGTGTCCTTTCACTATGAAGGTCCCCCTTTAATTTAGGGTCCATCCAAAATGTTCTTCCTCACTCAGTGGCGATGGCAATTTTTTTATTTCTGCCATCTGGTTTATTTCCTAGAGTGGATCAAAAATTAACTTAGAAACCTACCAAGGTTCATGAAAAGGTTGCTGCATGCAAACACCTGGAGGAAAACTAAAACTACACATTACCTTAAAAGCACCATCTACACAGCGTAACAGAGCGGAGGCTGTAGGAGTCCTTTCTTTAACAGGGGCAGGGAGAGTTGTCATAGTTGGTGGGAAGAGAAATGGAAAAAAAAGCAAGCAGTGAATAATATATTTTTAAAAGATCTGAAACTAGGACAGAGATTCACCTTCTAGCAGGATAAGATTAGATCATCTTAAACATAGCCAGAGCTATAATAAAATTGAATGGCCAATATTATTTGAACACAAATTATTAATGGGGTCCTCCTAAGTCTACAACTAAATATAGTTTAAGCTATTTTGAGAGGATTTGGAAGTCCACAAATATAGCTGTTTACTTCTGCAAAGCTGGTAGAGCCATACCATATAAGGGTCGTATCTCCAAGTGCATAAAAGTCCTCTAGAACCTTCAGCATCCTCTTCTTTAGACTGTGTAAAAACACTTTTTAGACAGCAGCTTTCCTGATCTGATGCAAGAAACTGAAATTCAAATATTTTTCATCTTAGCTGAATTGAAATGGGGATTTTGCATAAATTTCAAATCATGGGAACAGATGTGAATCCATCTTTTTTTTTAGGTTTTGAAATATAAATATTCACTTTATGTATCTAATGTACTGCATGCAATCGTTATTAAAAAAAAACCCAATGAAGTTTGTGTTTGTAATGTGACAAGATGTAAATTGTTTTTTTGGATGGTTATTTAAATTGTACCACTGTTTTTTGCTCTAAAGGGTTTTTTATCTTTTTTTAAACTTAACTTAGAACCTGAAAACAAATACTGTGGTCTTTGATTGTACACTTACAATCATTTAGCATAAACAGACCTTCAATCCTTGCATTGTTGTCACAGCTTAAAACCCCATGGCCTTAATTGTAAGTCTGACATCCTAATTTTGAGCAAATCCATCTATGTTCCCCCAGCTGCTTTGTTGCTTTGCCATTTCCTCTGGCATGCATCAGTGCAAGAAGGCTAAAGGGAGAAGAGGGAATAAGGCTTGGGAAGGAAAAGGTTTTATATATCCTGCCTTCTCATGCTTTGGCATACTTTGATCTCATTCCTGTCCATGGTGGCTTTTTGCAGTCGGTGGGACGTGGCATCATACTGGGCCTCCAGTGATCCTTGGATTTTTGGTTGTATGGAAGGAGGAACGAAAGGAAAATTTGGCGATCCATGCAGCCTCTCAGACAAGGAGGAGGAGTTTGACTAGTGACTGATTTAAAACATCAAAGCTTACAAGTATTTATTTTATAGCCTTGTATCAATCTCTCTTTAGAGCTCTGGATCACAGCCAGTGGGCTATTAAAGATAGATAACACAAAATATGAATCTGTCAAAATACAAGACAGGAAAAACTATTTTAGGGTTTTACAGCAAGAAAATATTAAAAGCAGATATCATGCACTCTTAGGCAGTTTCCAAATTTTCTTTTTCTTTTCTCAATTTAATTAGCACCTTGTTTTCACCTTGTCTTTGTAGGCTACACTCTAATTCAAATCAAAGTTAATGGAAAACACCTTAAATGTTGCAGATGTTAATTGCAGCATTCAAATAAATAAAATGTTGTAGATATTAATTACTGTAGGCATCTGGAGAAGCCTTGGACTGAATATAAGATTGTTTTTCAGCAATCTCCTAAATAGGATGCTGAGAATTGTTAGTAATTTTCGACATTTGTATTTTTAAAATAATCTTCACAAGTTCTCAGAACAGAACTGAACTTATATATCAGCTTATTAAGCTTCTTTAAAGGCCTATTCAACCCTTAATAAACATTTATTTGTAAATAAGTATAAATACATTAACTGTTCTTCATGTACTGTAAAAATAAATAAATAAAAAGGACCTGCATGTCGCTCATATTAAACAAACCAAAGATACATAAATCTCAGATCCTGTCACTGAGTTGTAGAATCGTCTCCCAATACATTTTTAATTATCTGTGGAAAAAATGCAGACCATTCTTTAATAAGATTCTCATAAGACAGACATGCAATGTTTTTTCTTAACCCTAATGTGTCTAATGGACCTGGTTAATGATTTTTTCTTTTCTCATGTACAAAACTATGAAAAAATTCTGAATAAATCAGAAAATAAAACAGCACAATTCCCTGTAAGTAGAGCGGAGACAGAAGACATTGAGTTTATTGGAGAAAACCTGCTCCGGTTAGCTCTGAGGAGAAAATGAAGCAGTACTTTGATTTTAGGAGCGAAAGTGTTGTACAGTTTTGCAGGGGTTGACTGGGTAGCAGAACATGCCTGCTCCCTGGAAACCTGCCATACACAGGAAGTCTGTGGAAGAGAGGAGAATTTCAAAAGAAATTGTTTTTCATGTTGAGTGAACTCTGTGAAATGGAAAACTCCAGATTTCGGGTTTAGAAAACTCAGAGTTTTCAGTGAACCTGCTTCATACAAAGGAGCCCTGAGCTTGCTTTTCTGAGCTCCGATAGTTCAGTGTGAAAAACAGCTGATATCAGGCTGTTCTCTATATCCATCCAGTCAGTTCCTCTGCTTGGTTTTGATGTCAAAGCTGAAGTTGAGCTCAAAAATATAAGAAAAACTCTTTGGTTTATAAAAGCATGTTTAACTTTTCAATTCGGTCCTCACAAAGCAAAACAGACCCCAGCCCTATTTTATTTTACTGCCTAAAAAATAAAATGTTCTCATGTTCCCCTCTCCACTGACGGACCACTACGGGTACGAATACCGTCTGTTGAGAATTCTGCCCTACAGGTTTAAAAGGAGTTACTGCATCTGATTATATATTTATTATCAAAGGGAAATTGAAATAAATCTTGATTTTTCTTCTTAAGTAAATGCATTTAAATTTAGTGAAATAAAGTCTGCATCATTAATCGAGTCCAGCATAATGGCTTGACATTTTGTTTCAGTCAGTCACATAATATAGAAGCTACTGAAAATAAAAAAATAATAATTATAAAAAAAATATTGGGTGGAAATGCAACTTTGCTTTTGTTTTCTTCAACACATAACAGATAGATTGTTATTGCATTATACCAAATTCTAGTGCATTTTTAAGTGAAAGTATGAAAATAACCATGAACAGACTGAAAGACTCAATGCAATAATGGGAACCTCACTAATGGTTTATTAGTACATTTTGATAAATAAAAGTTTAAAAAAAAAGAAAGTTTCCAAAGCTACTGTTTGTAGATAAATGTGTGTAAACCCATGTTTCTACATAGGTAGCATATTCATGTTTCTATGGAGATCTGACTCTGAATCATTCTACAAGAAAACTAGCATCTACTGTAGTTTAAACCATTAGATGCACACAAGGAAAGTTGGATATGCTTTGGATATGTTTATAATTCTCATCAATGCAGTTTGTGTCACCCAGTCTGCAAGGAAAATAATTTACCGCAACTAGAAGTTGATAATATAAGTAGAATTATCATTTGTGATATGATATGTTTCAGGTTTCTACCCCCAAACCTCAGTAAGATGGACTAGCTTAAGCTTATTTTCATCTAGAGTAGCACATTTTTGCTAAAGATCTATTTCTTTACTGGATTTTTTTTTCTGGTTTAGTTCATCTGCATTATCAGAGCTGTGTTGAAAGTGACCCACATTTGGATAATGCATCACTAAACCTGCTATAAGTAAGGCCAACAGTGATGGTTCTATGCAAGATGTGAGAAATACAAGGAAAGCTTTGCACTGGGAGTTGTCTGCAGCTATTATGGTGGTAACCTTTTATTGTATTCTCCATTCCTCTGCCACTAAAAGTCAGAGGAGTTTTCAGTATAAAGCCAGATGTTTATCCTCTGCATAATCAGAACAGGACTGCACATGTTATGTCTTTGAAATTCAGTTAATCTAGAAAATAATTTATTAGTCGAAAAAAAAAATTCACTCTATAAAGTGCGGCTAAAAAAAAAAAAAAAAACATATTTCCTGTGCTCTTTTTCTACATTTTGTGTTTGTTTGATGAAAACTCCTCAACTGTTAAAAAAGTTGTGTCTCTACAGAGGAGACTGACTCATACAGATTGATCATGACATGTTACACATTATAAATTAAAATCAACAGACTTTAGCAATGCTGTTGCGAGTAAATCACTCTAGAATTATGACATACATAACAGGCTGAACATGGGAGCACATTTCTCACGTCTGTTGCTTTTGCATTTATCATTTAGCATGTTTTTTGGTTTATCAATGATGTTTACAGTTTATTTTGTAGTAAATTACTGCATGAGAAATTATACTTCAGCTTTTTAGTTTTTTTGTTTTGATTTTCTGTCTACAACACTAACAAAAAGTCCAAAATTAGGTTCTGCTTCTCTCCCTGTACCACTGCTCAGTCTTCTCGCAAGGCGCTGCCTGAGCATGCTGTCCTACAGGAGGCACACAGAGAGGAGATGTCTGACTTTTTGTAGTGCAGATGAGGTCCATTAAGCATAGAAGGATTGTACAGAGATTCGGGTCTGACTTAAGGTGTTATTCACCCCTTAAAAGAAATTAACACTATTAAACAAAAGTAGTGTTTTGATTTAATTGTAATTTTATATATATATATATATTTATATAATAGAGAGAGACTGATAAGACTGTTTGACTCAAATGAAATGTTATGGTATCGCAGGTTTAGTCTATTCCATGTTTCATAAAGTCTGTCTGGTTTGTTTTTTATGTTTACAGGGTTTTTTCTCAATAAAACAACATTTTTTCTACTTATGAAAATTAAGATGTATAGTATCTATTGGGATAACATTGATTACGTTAATGAACATGTTTTTTGTTTGCTCAGGTGTTTAGATTCTTCTCGCCCAGAAACTAACCGACCCTGCTTGCTTCCCTGCAAGAAGGACTGTGTAGTGACCCCCTTCAGTGAATGGACAGCATGCCCAACATCTTGTCTCCCAGGTAGATTTATTTTTAGATGAAATTTAAAAGAAAATAAATAAAAACACAAGTAAAAAACTAACAAATTATTATGTGTTGATGCCCTTTAAAAATAAAAACAGTTTGGAAATCAGTAAAATATGTATTCATTGTATAAGAAATAATAATTAATAAAAAAAGTTTCTTTGCTCAATCGTCTCTTTATAACACAATTTCACACAGTTTGTTTCATTCCAACAATGCATGTAGAGATGTATTAAATTATTTTTATTTGTTGTTTTTCTGTTGCAATGAAAGACCTGAATGAGACTAAACAGAATAGAGACAGCACATAGCACTAGAGTGGTTAATTATTACATTTAATGGCTTATGACAACCTTAAGTGTTGATTACATTAAGCTGACACATCAAGAGGAAAATAGATATTTAATGGTTTTTCAATATGTGCAGTGCAGCATCTTGGAAATGAAACAAAAAAAGAATGAGATAGTTTTTAGAAGAAGTGGATAGACATCTCATCGCTGTAAATATGCTGTAGTCCACTGGGCCTGCTGACGATGTAATCACTTTCTTAATTGCAGCATTTTCAATGTTTTGTAATTAGTTTTGTTTAATGAGCCTTGGAGCCCGAGCCAAATGAGGCCATTATATTGTGGTGTGTCCGAAAACAGACAGCAGCGAAGTGGAGGACATCCCGACCATCAAGGGCATCCTAATCAGTCAGATCAGTTTCAAGACCACTTACTTCTATGGCTGCTTCTTTCATATGTTAGAATGTACTGATTGTGTTTGTTCTTTTTCTATTTACCAGAAAATGTGTTCTCATGATTTTATATTTTCCATCAACAATGGTCACCTTAATTTACCAGTGTGATTTTTTTACTATGCTGCTTTAAAAAAAAAAAAAAAAAAAAAACAATAATTGTTTTTATGAAATTTGTGTTTCATCTTGCACAGATAATTCAACTGCTGCCATGCAATCTCGGTACAGAATAATCATTCAGAGGTCTGCTAATGGAGGTCAAGAGTGTCCTGACACACTGTATGAAGAAAGGGAGTGTGACTCAGTTCGTGTTTGTCCAGTTTATAGGTAAATGTGTTTTTTACTATATTATCAGTTGAAGTTTCAATAATGGTAAATTTTTAAACCCTTTAGGGAGTAAAACTGGGGATTTGTCATGATTATAACAGTTAATTGGAGGTATAAATTGCTTGATAGCTGTAACTATGTTAATGAGTTAGGTTTTTCAGGACATGTATTGAATAAAGACATTTTTCAGTTTGTCATTGCATGTTACAATGTTAAGAAAAATAATTTTATCTAGTGAACCTTTTTCACATTTAGTCACAGTGCAATCACAAACTTTTACTGTATTTTGTGTGATTTATTGTGACAGACAACACAAAGTGGAGCTAAGGGTTAGGGTTATATAATTATAACGTAGCATTTACAGTGTACTTCGAGTAACTGTTCTGCCAATCTTAATTTAGATTCCAAACAACTCTGGCCGGCTTTAGTGTTTTCGCAGCACAATGCTTCCACCACCATGTTTCATACAGGTTATTGTATGTTTAAGGTTCAGGGTTTTGTCAAAAGTAACGTTATGAATGCAAAAAGTTATGTTTTAATGCCATCTCACCAAAGCACATTTCGTTTTATTACTCATGTATTTAGGGAAAAACATTTGCAAACATAAGGTATCTGAGAAAAAACAATACTTTACTATAATTGCAAGGTGAATTTTGTGCTGTTAGATACAAATGTTGGTCTCAGTACAGTGGCATTTTAATGCTGTTGTATAAAAAACAAAATTGAAGTTTAATTTTAGCCATATTCATGTTAGAGTATTGTGGCAAGCCCCAGTGTTTTCTGTCCCAGCTATTTTTTCCAGACTGATGACATTATTTGTAAGGTCACTGATGATGAAACTGTAATGCTTTTGATGATACAGACTTGTGATGAGTATTCTGACTTTTATCTCTAAACAGCAGCGCAACCTCAAAATTAGAACATATATTTATCAGTACATTCTGAGAGGTCTGCACTCTTCTTTCTCATTTCCTTAATTCAGTCAAGATAGAGTGATTTGATGTCTAAGTTTGAAATGGACAGACAAATGAAGCTTTGTTGAACATTTACATTCTGATTGGCACTCTAAAGATGCCTCATTAGCTAATCTTTGTACCAAACAGCTGGAAAACCCTTTGTAAAGAGTACACAAATGTTTAGCAAAAAAAATAAAATAAAATAAATAAACACACAGAAAAACAAACCGGGGGCTATGACCAATCCTGCTCTGTACAATCAGGTTCCATTGCTCATGCTGGAGTCAGCGGCTTCAAACAGAGCCTTTAGTCAAGGATATCTGGCTCAAACATATGTCTTTTCAATTCCACAGAAAAATGCATGTCAGCTTCCCTTTCATAATCAATCATTTTTACTGTGCTGCTGTTACTGTTTTTGGATTAGACAGACAACACTGACAGTCTTAGCTAATTAATGTCAAAATCCTGTAGCCATTATGTACATAATTAGGCTAGCAACGCATACACTGTTTGGTGCAGAACATAGTCATAAAGTAAGAAACTTCTTAACGAGGTTTGCAAATATTTCTACTACTGTTCACTCATTCCTTTAGTTAAAATTTTAAATAATAAAATCAAGCAGCTGCAGCGACTCTTTTGACTGTTAGTTAAAGTAACTCCCTCATCAAAATTCCTCAATACTCACCACACCTTAAAGAAACATTTTTCATTAAACAGGGCAATGGGCAGCAAAGAATCACTGATACAGTCAGGGATGTAGGCTGGTGTGTGTGGTTTGATGAAACAGAGAAACAACTATAGCTCAGATTGATGAGGAACGTAAAGCATAGATTTTTTCATAGAGAAAAGAAAGTGGGTTGAACTGCATAATCACAAACAAGCCAGGCTGCTTATGCCATGCATAAGAAATGCCAGTGTTGAATATGCAAGCATGATAGCTAAACCAGTTAAGAATGGAAGAAGGTGACCTGCTTAATTTAATCCTGTTTTCATTTATTTGGTTGGCCTGGTGTTAACACACAGCGCCAGAAAACACTATGAATAAAGGCAAACTGAGAGGAGCTGAGCAAAGCTGTTCTGGGAGACCTTGTAATAGCCATTTAGCGCTGCTTTATGGTTTAAATAGACTTTGTAATACAGAAAACTAAGCAGCCAGTAAAAAAAAAATTAAATTGAAGAAAGGAATATTAAATAAAAATATTAGATATATATTTATATATATAGACTATATAACACGATTGTATACAAAAATAAATTTCATTTAAAACAGCTTTGGACAATTTCAGTTTTTTGAGCGCAGCCTTGAAAACAGTAATAAATATATAAAAAGTAATATAAACATATGACTGTATATTTACAGTTCTCACATTAAATTTATATATAAAAATATATAAAAAAGAAGCTGATGGAGCTGCTGTAGTAGAATTTTGTTAAACAATAGTTTGAGGCAATCGCTGAAAATCAGGTTTTTTTTGTAATGTTCAGGAAATGTTCAGACTTCTGCACCTGTTGACTGTATGTTGGTTCACTGTTCATGAGCTAGGTACCTTAATTTCTCTGCGACAGTTTGTTTTTAGAACTTTTTTTTTTATCTGCTTGATCACTGAAATGTATACCTTACAAATATAAAGTTCTCAAACATAACCTCTTTGGAAAGCTGTTTATTTTAAAAGGACAAATTGCAAAATAGAACACTTGCCTTTAAGTGCACAGCATACAAAAGACTCAAATGCCATAATATTATGTTGTTTTTATTTTTCTCTCTTTACAAAATCCAACAATACTGTATCTTTCCTAGATGTGTCCAACCAAGATCATAAGTTACAAATTGGATAATAAAAAGGTTTGATGTTGAAAATATAAAACCACTATTATTCTCTAACAAATAAAGCCTTGTTTTTGTCATTCCATCTAGGTGGAGGATGCATAAGTGGCACAGTTGTACTCTGGTTCCAGATTCTGTTAGACGAGGATTATCTGGATCAGGAGAAGCCTGTGGAAATGGTTTAGAAACAAGAGGCAAGTATTGACCCTCACCTCAAGTCTTTCCCTCCCTATCTGTTCTCCTCATCAGCTGCTGCGACCATGTATCTCATGTTATAAGACTTTTTCTTCAGTCCAGCCTCTTAATTCTTCTATTCTTAAATATATATATATATAACTGACTGTGTATGTAATACAAACAGTTTGTAACATATTTGCTACAATGAGAAAAAATTACCTAAAAACAAATCACGCGATTTTATTTGATTTTATTTTATCATATCCTTCCAATGATATTAACCCCTTTCATAAATTCCTGTAATTGTAGTTCATTTGTACAGTTTCATAACAGTACTTTTTAATTGTGGGTCTTCGTTCCCTGAAAGGGAACACAAATATGACACTCCATTAATGTTTTTTTAAAGATCAATAATTTAGGTATTTAGCTGTATTTATGATTTTTGAAAATGCTTTATGATACATAGAAAGATTTTTAGAAAAAGACAAATTGTTACAACAGTGGTGTGTTTTACTGTTAAAATAGTGTTTTACAAACATTTATGTTATGCTTCCAAGGATGCTTAAAATTAAAGATGAAGTTTGTTATTGTTTGCTCCTTTTGAAAAGAGCAAAGCACATAATTATAAGTACTAACTTGCTTCTCTAAAATAAATGTATCAAACAGTTCTTCCTTAGCATTTCACAGTTTTCCCAATATTTAAATGATTAAAATACCATAAGGGAACATAATAAACTTTGAAAAGGGAAACAAATGTAAAAGATGTATCTTTTCTTTTCCCTGTATGATCCAATTGAATTCTGCTGCATCACTCTGTTGTCTTGAAAGCAGCAATTCTCTCTCTTTATAATTATGACTGACATTTCTGAAACAAATTTCTGATGAGCACACAACGCAAAGTGTTTTTGGCGTTCCCAGGTTAAGAGCAAGCCTCATTGACCTTTACAGCATCGTATTTGAATGTGATTAGATAATGGCTGAGTTAAGTACCTGTGACATTTCGAGAAAACTGAACTGCAAGATGAAAATTTGTAAATAGCACAAACAGAGAATTTAAAAGTAGATTTAAGAATGACAAAGAACTTTGAGTTACACTCACTCCATGGATGGCATAACCAATTCAGTGAAAAGGATACATAAATGTCAGACTGATGTATAATTAGGGCAAAGCAATCGGAAGAGGTAAATGATAGAGGAAGGAAACAACTTACACCAGTTTTATTCAAGGGTTCAGAACTTAGGGCTAGAAATCACCTTTAAAGTCGTAGGGAAATCAGTCTTAAATATCAAACCATTCTGGCTTAAACATGCATATAAATGTACTCTTTATCAGACTATATTGTCCCAAAAATTTTAATAGTTCTATAAAAAAAAATAATAATCTGCCTTAAAATCTGCTTTTTTGCCCCCATTATTTAATGCAGGCCAGATAATTATACATCATTCTGTACATTTAAATTCGGCCAATCATATATCAATGGTCATATGTCAATCAAATTTTTGCGGTTTTCCTAATGTGTCAAATTGAGTCAAAGAAATGAGTGAACAAGTCATTTTATCAATGCCAAATACAACTTCTTGAAATATTTTAAATATGTCTGATATGTTATTTTCTTAAAATAATAGAGAGTAATGCTGTAGGAAGAGTTCCTTGATAAAACCCTACTCTTACCTGATTTATAAGTGTGGAAACACCTATTATCTTTGAATCCTTAACAAGAAAGTGTAAATCCCAATGGAGGAAAATAATCTTGAAAATAGAAAACCTTTGCATTAGGTAAAATAACGTAAGTCAGTGTTATATATTCTCAGTAAAGTTGCTTCAAAATAGGAGCATTTTTCTTTTTTATAATATGAACAATTATATATTTTTTTTTATTATCAGTCACATTTTACCTTGAAAAAAATAGGAAAAACAGATTTTGAGAGGAGTGGTAGGGAAGGAAAGCGATGAAGTTCATTCTGAAAATACATATTCTATACAGACACAATATTTTCTTATGATATACAGAGCTGCACAGTTTTTTATCTGGTATAAACAGATAATGTCAATCTTTACAAAGTGCTCTGTCCTCCAAACGACACAAATTTAAAGTGGATTTTGGCAATAAAAACTTGAATGGATAGTCTCATAAATCCCTAGAGCAATATTTATGTTTTCAGGGATCTACAGAATATTAAAGAGCACAAATCTTTGTTTCATGAGTGCACTGTTAGAAAAATAAAGAAAATTTTCTCTTTTTCTTTATCGTCATTGAGGATACAACACAGAAGTCATTTTGCAGTATCTCTTTTTAGCAGTGTCCATGTCGGATAAGGTTAACATGTGCTGTAAATAGTTTTAAAATTAGTACACACAGTGTGCTGTTTCCCTGTTTGTTTGTTACTTGTTTGTATTTTTTTTTTTTTTCCTTGTGTCCTCTTTTGCCAACATAGCTCTGGGAAGTGATGTCCCAGAGCTAGTTAATAGCCCAACAGATCAGCTTTCTCAAGTAGATCATTTTGCTTAGTGTCATTGGTAATTTTGTATAAAGCAATATATGAACTGGTTTTGGGAATTAAATCGTATGCATTGCACACTAACATGGAAAGGGAGTTGAGAAAGGAGAGGGGTTAAGAATTAAGGGGAAGGAGAAAAAGATAGAGAAAATAAAGGGGAAAGAAGGAGAAAGTGAAAAGAGATAAAGAAAAAAACAACACAACAAAACAAACAAAGAAAATATACAGTAATTGCGCATACTACTGTATATAGTTGTGTACCAAGGTAATAAATGCTTTAACGCTGTGCCCCAAGACAGAGGAAAGACACAACCATTTAATGACATTGATAAAAATATTTTATTTTTTCACCCATAACTAATACATGGTTTGTTTCTGATATAATATTAACCACATTAATAACTTTTTTTTTATATAATATTAATGTAAAAGCTGATGGAACAGCAGTTTTTATGGAATAATTTCTCGATAATGATTAATTTAAAATATTTATTTGGTAAATTACAAAGTCAAAGCAGCTACATTTTCAGGTTATTCCTTTGAGTTTAAAAATAAGCAATAAGCATTAGTGACATCAAGAGCCTAATCTTCGCGACTGCAAGAAGAAGAAGAGAAGAGGCGTTAAATTGATGTGCAAAATCAGTACTATAAAATAAGTGGTTGCGTTTGCATTTGTTATGGATAAGACATGCAGAATCTGTTTGGTTGTGTATGGCACTAATCAGGATGTGATTTGCTTATGCAGTTAGACAGATTTTGTCCCAGCATGCAAACAAATTAGAGGCACTACCTTATAGTACTAAGTAGTGGATGACTCCTCAAGAGCTTGCCACCATCAGTGTGTGAGTGTGCGCGTGAATGGGTGAATGAATGTAGTGTGAAGCGCTTTGGTCAAGTCTCCTGATTTGAATAAAGGCGCTATATAAGTACATGCCATTTACCATTTGATCCTGAATTTCTAATTTCTAATGCATGCAGTACAAAAGTCAGCTCAACGTTCAATTCATGTAGTGATTTGACTCAGTTTGTTCCCATAAATAATTTGTTTGTTTGAACAAAACAATCATTAAAGACAGAAGTTAAAAGAATGTCAATGAGCATTAAATCTCATGAGTTTCTCGCCTTTCTATGTTAGAGTTTATTCCGTTATTCATGACAAGTTCAAAGTCCGTTTCAGCTTTGCACCTGTAGCTTAGAGCATAAACTCTAGATTAGACTTAAGGTTCTATTACTTTATGTTTAAAATGTTTGGAAACCTGCTCTGCACATACAGTATTGAGCTGTAGTTGAAGCCTCCAGCCTTCAAGTCTACTACCCTGCCACAAAACCTTTATGGGATTTCTTCCATACAGATCAGTCAAACTCACACAAGTTTGATAAGGGAATTGATTCACAGCAGGTCGTACCAAACGACTTTACTGCTTTAATGTTGAAATAGAGCTACAGTCACCCCAATACTTTTAGTGTTTTTCTTGGGTTGTTCTATTCTTTTTTTTTTGTTGTTAAGGTTATATTTTCTTTTCAGCTTCAATCTTGATAAAGTGTAAATATTTTCTCTCTAGATTGCAATACATGATACATATAATTTTTTGCATTCCACCTTAGAGCTGCTATCAGCCTGCATCAGAGCAAAATTGCAAATGTGCAATTGTGTTAATGAAGTTATGTTGACTGCCCAGTTTTCCCATTGTCTGGTATAGTGGGCAGATAGTCAAGGAAAGGCCTCCCAGCCCGGCCTTAATGGTTCCGTTCGGCTGAGAAGACGCATGTTTGAAAAGCATTTCTGGGTCCCATTGACTTTTACTTTAGAATGATAGAAACTTAGGTGCTTTGAATCATCATATTGCACATGGGAATGATATTTTAGGTTTTTAAGCTGAGATGAAGTTTTCCATACTTCAGTCATTATAACCCTCACTACCCTACTTGCCACTGGCAAAAGGCTATATGCATTTATAAGCCCCTTAAAGGTCTTTTGCATATTTAGTAGAATGCACTGGTATTCAAATGCTGTTGCATAAGAATATATATTGCGATTTTCTAAATTACAAAGCCTTGTGTTTCTGTTGAGTTAGCAAACCAATATGAAACGTAACGGTATCAAAAATATAAAATAATTCTTTAATTCTTTAACTTTATGATAATTATACCCCTAATGAATATAGTTCCATAGAAATTTAATGAAAAAGCACACAACCTAGTAAGAAGTAAGTTTTCTTCTTTTTTTTATAGCTTTCATATACTGTGCCATAATCCAACCCCCAAACTGTGTCAATTCTGGCTGCATGCATTATAACCTTTTCCAGGTAGAAATGAAGCTCTTGCAGAAGATTATTCGGTGGAAAATGAGTCCTGCTGATGATCTATAGCTGCAGGAAAAAATTGTCTTAATGGCTTTGATGACTCGGGTCTACATTGCTCTTCACAATGCTTTATGAAGAACCTTTTACAATGAATTCATATCAGATGGTGAGAGTGAGCTTAGAAACTGCTATTAAGTGTAATAATAGAAAATGCTTCTTGGGCTGATGGCAAAAGAAACCTACTATTGATAAAATAATAATAATAATAACATTCTTCACATGTAGTCAATAGCCCAATAATAAATATATGGATATGTTTCCCTAAAATATAAAGTTTTTAATGACTATTCAATATGTTTACATTTATCTAACAATTATAGAAAATCCTCAATGCTACTATAAGAATAGCACAATTTCTTAGATTCTTCTTTAAAAGCCACACAAAGGCATCAGACTGAACTTATAATGTAAAAATTGTATGGTTGAACGGTTCAAAGTCAGGAAGTCCGAGCTGCGATGCTAATAAGTCACATGAATGACAGAATTAAGCTGTCTTTGCTAGAGTTGGCTATATAAGTGGAAAAGTGAAGGGACAGAAATACATGCCAGTGGAGACAAGCAGTCATTACCATAGTGATAATAGTTGGACGACTTCTCGGCAGATTTTGATTTCTCTTTTTTTTTGTTTTAGTTTTTACTAAAAAGAGGATTTAAAGCTCCCTTAGCAACAACCATAACCAACTACTACATTTTTATAATTGATAAATGCCTTGTTTTTAGAACTACTTTACTTTTAGTTTTATATAAATGTACGATAACAGTTATTGTTGCAATTGTCAATGTTTACCCATTGAATCCAAAGCAAGCATGTTACATACTATACAGTTTGGCCAAAGTGCGACATTTTATCATTAAATGTTTTATTAATATAAAAGACTGGTGTGGGTCTTAAATTTATGAATTGATGTGGGTTTGTAAATAACTGAATTGAGCTGAGTTTGTAAACTAGTGAATTTCCTAAACACTATTTTGAATTCGTATATGAAGAAAAAAACAACTAAGATTTAACTTCAATTTAAAAGCTTGAGCTTTTCTAAGGTATTCTGGATGAAAAGTTTGTAAAAGGAGGAACGTTAATTTACAAGGGTTAAGCCCCAAATGACCCCTTTCTACAGCACATTTTTACCTGAAAGTCTAAAATATCATTGCTTTACAAATATACAGTATCAAAAATTGTATGTCCAAATTTATTTCTACCCTTTTCAAAACTCCATTAAAAGGTCTTAATTACTGCCTTTAGAGCAAGCAAACTGTACTTATAATTGCTAATCATCTTTTTGCAGTCATCATCATTTTGCAATCATCATTTTCAATTTTAGCTTGGCATCACCCTAATCTAGAACCTGCACAGATTCAAGCCAGGACTGCATTTTGGCCTCTCTGCAAAGTTACATAATTCAATGAAAAAAAAAAAAAAGATTGTTTGAAACCTACATCTTCTATGAGTTCCGATAATTGATCAAACATCTGTAATGATTTGTTAACAGGTGGTTCTATTGCGTCATCATTTATATAATTTAGGGCCTCTTGGGGGATTTACAGTATAAAGGCCACATTTGCAATTTTTTTAGTTTAAAAAAATATTAATTTTGGAACCCAAAACCTCCTGGCCATGTGCACTGTGTGAATATTAATCATCATGTAAATGAAAATTGTCCTCTCTCCATGTGTCGCAGGGATCAGTTGTGTTGGGGAGGACGGTATGCCGGCCAACATGACAGAGTGCCTGCAATGGGCTGGCCCCTTTCCCTCTCATATTAGAAAGTGCCGGGTGGCGTGCAAGGAAGACTGCACTCTAACTGCTTGGTCCAAGTTTTCCGAATGTGCCGGATGTGGCAGCTCACGTACTCGCAGGCGTTCACTTGTGGGTAAGGACTTTTCTTGTACTTTTCATGTTGTGCTGACATCAATATCATATAGAAACAGCTGCCTTATTCATTGCTGCTGGAACAGTACCATTGTCCTCTAGGGTCAAAAATTCTCACATTGCTGCTGCATGATCGTATTGATATGGCTGACAGTGACTTTTAAAATAAATTAAAAAAGAGAAGACCAAAGCTTTTTTTGGGTATGTCTGCTAGTTTGAGTTTACTGCTAATTCCTCCAGGAAGCCTAGGACAGCCTAATGCTTATTGATCTTCCAAAGGAAACAGCAGACAGAATTTATTTGCTGCTTCTTGGACAGTACTAATTGGAGCATATTCTTCACATACCGAAAAGCTTGTCCTCTTTGATATGCCATGTGAAATAAATTGTGTCTCAACTGTCATTCAAGTCATTTTATTATAACTGTACACTGTCCCTGTAGCATAGCATCCGGTCTAAATTAGCTCTCATACAGCTTGTAATCTCCAACTTTGGTGCAGATGGCAGAATATGATTTGCATGTCGTGGTTACAGGCCAGACTGGATACTATTTGTCCTCATGAATATTTAATCTAATGCCAGAGGGGTTGTAGTAAATATACCCTTTATCCCTCCATAATGTCCTAAGAAACCTACACATGACATAAGACTGTGCAGATGTGGGTTTCTCTGGGAACAATTTGTTAGAATACTTATTTCTTCAGATAAGTTCCTTTTATTTCATTTTTGGCAGAGAGATTGATGGGTAACAAGTGGGATCTGTTTTATTTTATTTTTATTATTATAATCATTACATTACTTTTTGTTTTATTTAATTTGCAGTTCCAGAAAGTGGTTAAGAAAGCTGGCTGCTTTCACAGTTCATCTGTGTAGTAAAGCCTGCCTGAGCCCAATGAGGACTACTTTTTTTTTTATTGGAAGTGAAAGTTGCTTTAGAGCATTAAAAAGCTGTTTAACAAAAGAATGCGTAAGAGCGGGTTATAATTCTGCAACCGCGCACATCAAACTTCGCTTGGGTCTGGTCGCGAACCAGTTTTGCTGGTATGTTTCTGCAACGTCTGTCTGGAATTTCTAGGGACGCACAGCAGCTCCCCGCCAAAGCGCTAGGGGAAGCCCATAAGAGAACTTCGGCTGATGGTCACTAGAACTTCCTCGGCAGCGCTGGCGGGAGTGTTTATTTTCAAAAACAACATGTCTGAGGCATCATACAAGTGGTTGTACTTCCGAACCTCCTTGATGAACCTTTCGTCATGGTTATCCATTCTTGTTAATTCTCCTCGGTTTTTAAAAATGGCACACCCCGCCACCGAATCGAGAAGGATGACCACACAGACAGCCAGAGAAGCAAACCAAGGACCAATCACAGCTGCTTTTTGTCTGCGCAGGTTTGCGACCGTCCAACGTGTTGTCAGGATTTTCTCTAAGTGCGCAACGACGGCTGCAGAGACCCTGTGGTGCGTGGTCACGAACAGAGACAGATTTGCCAGTTGCAGAGGCCATGCGTCAGAAGTATAAATTGGCCTTAAGTTATATTGTGTTGCTATTGAATGTTACGAATGTCAACTGAGTCAGTGTCCTTTTGTGCACATCAAAGGTGTTACAGATACATGTCCATAAATAATGCCTTTTACATATATCAGTTGTTTACTTAAACACATATGAGAGACAGATATTTAGACTTACAAATAGGTAAAAGAAAACTTATTATACTTTTTAGATTATTATTAATGTAATAATCAAGAGTGACATTTTTTCCTGAAAAAAAAAAGTTTACTATTCTTGGGTTTCAAATATTAGAAAAAAAACTATATAGCATTAATAAATTAAATGATCCAGCCAATGTAAATTATGACAACATTTTCAAACCTATGGATTAATATTGACATAAGGCTAATACCTTATATCCCCAATCCACAAATCATGCAGGAATGTGTTTACAACTGTGTCACCTGGATAAAATGTTCTCCGTGCTATTTTGCATACAATCTTTTTCCAACTTCAGTGAGACAAAAGTAGGCAAAAGAATAACATTAAATGAACATAAAGCTAGACTCAGTGTTTTTTAGCCTCTGATAACATCCACCTGCTCATTCTTCCATATATCTTAAAAGATACGCAAATCACAGGCTTTCTGTGGTTTAGAATCTACACCCCTTACTTTAAGCTTTGGGGAATTAAACACAATAAATTACCTTCTGAATGAATAGATGTATGTGGTGCATTTCTCTGTTAGACAACGACTCCACATTCTGCTCTGTTTGGGTAACTCAATAATATTCTGAGTCCACAGGGTACCTGCTCCTTTCCTGTGATGAATCTGCATGCTGAATTTCCAATACCTTATGGAGCTTTGATTCCACAAAGTCTAAAGACATGCAAATTACATGAACATGACTGCCTGCAGTTGGAAATAGATTATATGTAAGATGAATTTGCCGTTATGTAGTGGATATATGCTCTTTAGAAGCAGTGCTAAGGGGGTTTTCTTTTTTATACATGCTTGCTAAAAAAACAAGACAGATTAAATTGATTTATATTGATTTGCAGATATCATTACAAAGAAAAAAAATCACTTTTACTTGAAAGTAAAAGTTTGTATTTTGTATGTTATAGTTGGGAAGTCTAAAATTAAAAACACATTTTTATGAATCATGAATGGATAGTATAATACCACTCATGGTCAAAAGCTTCAATACATGCCTTTCTTACAGGCCGGGAAAAAAAAACCTGAGTAAAACAAATCGGTAAGCGATCCGGATTAAAATCGCATTCAATCAGCTTGGCTACGATCAGCATACAGCGATAGCATCAGACCCAGTCGACCAGCTAATGTACATGATACCATTGAGCACGGAGGGACGTGACACACCACGCCAGTTGTGTCTGATCTAAAGAGCCAAAACAACACTGCTTACATCTGATAAACATGGCGCAGCTCTGGTGGGAGAGATTCGGACAGACAAAAGCCCACTGACCTTACCCTGGCTTTCGTCCATGTTGCTCTGCATCATTTACTTTCCTGATTTCTAGTGAGATATTCAATGCTAACCCAACGTGATCGCGTCACTGGAGAAGCATTAGTGGGGGATAGAGACCACACAGCTTGCCAGCGATGGTCAAGTCAAGCTTCTTTTGTCAATGTTAAAAAGGAACCAAATGTCGATTGTTAATGGGCCAAACCATATTTGAAAAACTTGCGATGACCTGCTAATTTCAGTGGTATAGAGGCTATAGACAACTCTTTTTGGCAAAACATATGAAAACAACAAATATAATATACACTATATTGCCAAAAGTATTTGCTCACCCATCCAAATTATTGGAATCAGGTGTTCCAATCACTTCCATGGCCACAGGTGTATAAATTCAAGCACCTAGGCATGCAGACTGTTTTTACAAACATTTGTGAAAGAATGGGTCGCTCTCAGGAGCTCAGTGAATTCCAGCGTGGAACTGTGATAGGATGCCACCTGTGCAACAAATCCAGTCGTGAAATTTCCTCGCTCCTAAATATTCCACAGTCAACTGTCAGCTGTATTATAAGAAAATGGAAGTGTTTGGGAACGACAGCAACTCAGCCACGAAGTGGTAGGCCACGTAAACTGACGGAGCGGGGTCAGCGGATGCTGACGCGCATAGTGCGAAGAGGTCGCCAACTTTCTGCAGAGTCAATCACTACAGACCTCCAAACTTCATGTGGCCTTCAGATTAGCTCAAGAACAGTGCGCAGAGAGCTTCATGGAATGGGTTTCCATGGTCGAGCAGCTGCATCCAAGCCATACATCACCAAGTGCAATGCAAAGCGTCGGATGCGGTGGTGTAAAGCACGCCGCCACTGGACTCTAGAGCAGTGGAGACGCGTTCTCTGGAGTGACGAATCGCGCTTCTCCATCTGGCAATCTGATGGACGGGTCTGGGTTTGGCGGTTGCCAGGAGAACGGTACTTGTCTGACTGCATTGTGCCAAGTGTAAAGTTTGTTGGAGGGGGGATTATGGTGTGGGGTTGTTTTTCAGGAGCTGGGCTTGGCCCCTTAGTTCCAGTGAAAGGAACTCTGAATGCTTCAGCATCCCAAGACATTTTGGACAATTCCATGCTCCCAACTTTGTGGGAACAGTTTGGAGCTGGCCCCTTCCTCTTCCAACATGACTGTGCACCAGTGCACAAAGCAAGGTCCATAAAGACATGGATGACAGAGTCTGGTGTGGATGAACTTGACTGGCCTGCACAGAGTCCTGACCTCAACCCGATAGAACACCTTTGGGATGAATTAGAGCGGAGACTGAGAGCCAGGCCTTCTCGTCCAACATCAGTGTGCAACCTCACAAATGCGCTTCTGGAAGAATGGTCAAAAATTCCCATAAACACACTCCTAAACCTTGTGGACAGCCTTCCCAGAAGAGTTGAAGCTGTTCTAGCTGCAAAGGGTGGACCGACGTCATATTGAACCCTATGGATTAGGAACGGGATGTCACTTAAGCTCATATGTGAGTCAAGGCAGGTGAGCAAATACTTTTGGCAATATAGTGTATATTAGGTACATTAAAAAAATGGCTGTAGGAACATGTTTTAAAACATATACAAGCATGAATATTTTGTTTCTAAACACTTCCATGGGGATGTTACCACCATATTTTCCAGCAATATGCTGCAATGTATACATATTCAAATGGGAATCATCCCTTCTAATGATCAGAGATTAGATGAGTTTGTCAGAGCTTAACTGGCAATAAACGGTTTAACTACTCTATGCTGCTCAGCATTAGGGCTGTTTACAATTTCTCCTCTGTCAGAATAAGCTTTTAAGAGAGTTATGTGAATTACACAAAAGTAACATGGGTTTAGAAAGACGAGATATCTTTAAGAATATCTCTTTTTAAAATTAATTTTGTTTTTCATTTATTTCATTTATTTTAATTTAAGGTTGCAGTTTCATTTTTTTCCTATGTGTGTATTACCGTAAAGCTAATCATTTAAACCTGTTCTGAACATAATGTCTTTTTT